GCTCCAGTGATGGAGGAGTTGTCTTTGCAGGCATACTGCTCCTTTTGCTAAAGACACAAGTGAGGAGATTTCAGTATACATCACCAGTTCAGCAGCAGGAGGAGCACTCCTTAAAGATCTCACCTAAGCAATCCCATGGGAGATAACAGTGTCCCAGCAGGACTGAAGTTCCCTCACAAACCAACACTCACCACTCCCCTCTGGCATTGCATCCACTGCATAAGAAGGGAAAGTTGCTACTCGAGACTGGCTCTTCTGAATTAAAATTCTAGCCAGAAGATGACAATTAGTATCTTTCCCAACCAACTAACTGGTGAGGGAGAGGCACAAGCTGAAGACAACTCCCACATCACTGCCCCTGAAAATGTAAAGTGGCAATAAATATTTGGCCCTTGACCAGGGCCAAAGCACAGGGATTACATCCTCCAACAAAGCTCTGGGGGAAGCAGCACATGCAGTCAACAAAGTCAGTGGGGAAAATGAGACCACTCAGGCAATGGCAGAGGGTTCCTCAACCTGTTAAGGATTCCCAGTTGTCCTCCTTCCACTGTGCCCAGGTGAACCCAACAGTTTTCTCTCCATTGGGGGATGAATCAAAGGCAAACCTGGCCACGAAGAGACCACTTGCAGCACTACAGAGCTCTGCCCAAAGCTTGTTCCTTGGTGTGATTTCTGAACTGCAGGGAGAAGGGCCTGTGCCAGAGCAGGATCCTGGAGGGTGTGGATCTGACTGCAGCTGCCCTGGGGCAGGAGGTGACTGCCTCCCCCAGCCCTGCCATGGACATGAACAGTCTGGACTGCCCTGGAAGGCAGAGGAGGGACCAGGATGGCCTGGGCAGACAGGGGAGAACCTGGATAAGCAGTGGAAGCAGCTGGAAGCACTGACAAGCCCAGGCTGTTCTTACAGCTCACCCTGTGCCTTCCTCCAGCAAGGGAAGGAGGCAGACCCTGCACTCTACATTTTCAAGGTGTCCTTTCTCTAGATGACTGGGTACAAAACCACTGAAAACCACTCAACCAATACCCATTAGTACAATGAGAGTTCCAAAGTGCACCTGTGACCTCGCTGGAAGCAGCTTCTTTGGCTCTCCACTGCCCCCCAGGCCAGCTGACACACGGAGAGCTTGGGGCAACATCCCCTGTTGTCCTCCAGCACATCTTGGGAGGTCTCAGACTTCTTTCACAACCTCCTGCCCACCACAGCAGGCCCCACAGCCAGTGTGGTAATTGAGAACAGGTCTTGGTGCTCCAGACCATCAGGCTGGGCTCTCACTCACTCCAGATCAGGTGAACACAAAATCCCTGAGCTCTAACAGCACTCCTGGCTCCTGCACCTCATCCCTGAGAGCTGATCAAGGAGGCTGTCAGTCCTCATTCTTCCTCCTCCTCCTCCCAGAAAGCTTTGAATCAAGCTCCACTTCTCCAGCCAGAAGCTTGAATTACTCCTCAGTCATTCTGCCCTTACAGAAAAGAGCCCACAAATAGTTCTTAATGCATCTGAACACCTCCTACACACATAACTGTGCTCCCTGCGTCACAGCTCTGCCGCATTATCGCAGGACACGTTCTCCAGCTCCCATTCCACTGCCTTTGTTGGCATCATCTGGGAAAGCAACAAGGAATGCAGAGCAAGGTGGAAAGCAGCACTCACTGTCTGTCCAGCCTGTGAAGCCTCAGAGGGCAAAGGCCCCAGTCAGCCCAGGGTTTGTATCTTTTATGTATTTCCCCAGGATGTACATATTTTGTGCTCATTCTTTGCCAGGTGCTGGAGGATACTGCAGTTGTACATACACACACACACATTTCCCAGCCAGCAGAAATATAAGAGGGAGTTTTGCTCCTTCCCTGACTCCAGGATTCAAAAGAGCAGCAGATCTGCAGCTCCATGCTCACCCTAAGGTCACTTGAATCTGTGCAGGCAGCAGGGCCCCAGAACCACCACACAGGTCACTCCCAGCCCAGAACCACCACTTGACTCTACAAACCACAGCTATTCATAACTGCATTTCTAGCTGTTTATAATTTTTGATGCACTCAGATTTTTTGCCTTCTTAGCTCTAAAGCACAGTAACAAATCACTACCCATCAATTCCTAAGTTACTTTTGGATTTGTGCAATGTTTGGCCTTATCACCCTTAATTAAGAGCCTGTCCTGTGCCAGGGAGAGACACAGCTCCTTAAATACAAGCTGCAGCACCTTCACAACATTATCCTCTCAGCGAGTCCTTGCCTGGAGCAAGGGAGCAGGGAAAGCTCCTGGCTGTTCTGGGCATAAACCCACAGCTGTTGGCATGCAAAAGCTATTGAGAGAGTACCTGCTGAGTTAACAGGCTAAGTGACACTGAGAATGAACCTGGGGAAGAAAAGCCTATACCAAAGAGACAGAGGATGCAAGGTTCCTGCCCCAGATGAGCACGTGCTGGGGTAAATCAGGTCTTTTGATATGGAGTTAATCAAATGTGAAGCTTTACCACAGCCCATGATCATTCCTGTTCACACCACTGCCCCAGCTGCACTGTGGGAGAGGGAGAATCCCCCCTGCTCCCCAACTTCCAGTTCTTAGTGATCCCAAAGGATCCTGTGCCTATGGCCACAGAGCAGCCTCACGTATGGGGAACACCAGCAAACACAAGGATTCTCATCCTCACAGACTCCTTTTGATCCAGACACCGGGATGGCTCAGCAATTCCTGAACCCAACCAGCCCCCAGGAACCAGCCTCTTCTGGGAAAAGGGCTGCAGGGAGCCGAGCAGAGTGCCAGTTAGAGACTGAGGGTGGGAAATCGAGCACAAAGCAGTATGTGGCTCAAAACAAAAGAGGAGAATTTGGGTCAGCAGAAATTACCATCACAGCTCGATGCAGGGCAGTCGTAGCCTGGGGAGGCTCGTGCAGAGAAAGGCTCTGGCTATAAACACTCCCAGCTCAGACCTCGTTAGACAAAAGGGCTCCTTAGCTGAGTACCAGACCCACGTGAATCTGGGGAGAAGAGATTCCCCGAGTGATCCACTCACACCAACACATCTCCCGGAAAAACTCTGCACCAGCTTCGGCACTGGGAGAGCCAAGAGAAACGCGGCCAGGGGCACGGCCGGGGGGAAGCACCGGCTGCCCCCAGCCAGGGATCTCCGACGGCACCCGAGGGCGAGGGCACCGCCTCCTGCTCCTCCCTCCCTCCTTACTCCCACCCCGCACAGCTTCTGCTCACTCTTCCTTCCAAGGGACCTGACTGACAGGTTAAGGAATAAAGCTCTGGCTCTGCTGGAGCACAGCTAACCCACCGGAGGCACACGGCTTCGTTCTCAGATACTAACAAGCCACTGGGGATTTCCGTGGTGGAAGAGCTGCACTGCCCAGATACACTGAAGTGGCACTCAGTGACACAATAAATCTGACAACCCGACCCCAATAGTGACCCTATTTGTCACGCAATTTCCTCTGTCACATTCTCTCTTTGTAACCCGCAGGGAAACCACAGACCACAGTGACAAGAGACAAGTGTGTTGATGAGGGGCAGGACAAGAGATAAGGAAGCACAGAGCACAGCACAGCACGGCTGCTCACAGGAGACACACAGGAAGCTCCTCACTGTGCCTCAGTTAACCACAGCCCTCAGGCACGTTTCCAGCCTCAGTAACAGCACATCCCATAATCGAGGCCTCAGAGCTTGGATCTTCACAGCCCTCACTCCTGGCAGCTATCTGAGGTGAAACCTCGAGTGCACCCCTGGGAAATGCAAACCCTTGAGGTTCACCTGTTAAACCACCTGGTACTGACACAGCCAGAGAATAGAAGTGCTGCTGCCTCCTGCCCTATCCAGGGACCCAGCTGTGGTGAGCATGCTGTGCAGGCTGCATGAGCTGGAGCATCAACTGGGACATCATACATGACCTGAGCATCCTGTAGAGTCTGTATGAGCCTGTAGGTACACCTGGACATGCTGCAGAGCCTGTGTGAGCCTGTAGGTACACCTGGACATGCTGTACAGCCTGTGTGAGCCTGTAGGTACACCTGGACATGCTGTACTGCCTGTATGAGCCAGTGGGTACACCTGGACATGCTGTACAGCCTGTATGAGCCAGGGGGTACACCTGGACATGCTGCAGAGCCTGTGTGAGCCAGCAGGTACACCTGGACATGCTGTACAGCCTGTGTGAGCCTGTAGGTACACCTGGACATGCTGCAGAGCCTGTGTGAGCCTGTAGGTACACCTGGACATGCTGTATGAGCTGGGACACGAACTGACACATGCTGTACTGCCTGTATGTACCAGGGCATGAACCCGCACACGCTGCATGTCCCGAACATGCTCTGTGCCCGCCCTGAGTCAGGCGGTGCCCCTGCACCCCACACAGGTCCACACGAGCTCTCCTCCCCACAGGACGGAGGGCTGTGCGTTCCGAACTCTCCTCCCGCGCTGCCGGGACAGCACGCAC